AATTCAAGATATTAAGTCAGCTAGGATAGTCACTGATAACCGCAATAATAAAATTGTTTAATATTTAATTAAATAATGTTAAAATTTTGTTAATCAATATATAAATGTACTAAAACGTGAAAAAGTCGTATATATTTGAAAATATAATCCAATAAATATAAAATAATAAGAAAAAAAATACATTTTTCAATAATACATTTGCCATCAAGTTTTAAGTTTTTTATGAACTCAAACGAAACAATTTTACGTAAAGCATGATTAAATGGTAAAGACAAGCTCCGAGTTTGGGTGAAGGTTATGTAAAATTTTGAAAACAGTGATTTTTAAAACTAAAACTATTTTCGACCTCAAAAGAAAAAAGGGATTTTTCCAACTTTTAAAAGAATAATGAACAATACTTAAATTGTTCAAATTTGAATTTTTTAAAATAAATTAATAAAACTTAACAATAAAAGTATATATATCATAAAGCAATAATTTGAGTCAATAAAGTTTTTTTAAAAAAATATTTCGAAAACGAAAACTAATAATGGTTGTGTTTGACACCCATTTTGGAGAAAATTTTGATTTGGAACAGTGATTGATGAAAAAATGTGTGGTTAAAAAGTAAGGAGAATTTTTGAATTTATGAGTAATATTATTTTATTGATAGAATGTGTGGTTGAAATGGAGAAATGGAAAAAATTGAGAAAGAGAATGAGAAAAAATGGATGTCAAACAAGGGCAATATATAATTGTTTTGTTATTTTTTATTGAATTAAAAGTTTAAACAAAAAGTAGAAAAGCAAATAATTGAACCCCATACATCTATTGCACAAAATAGTCCTTTTACCATATCAGCTACACATCTTTTGTGTTACAGTGGCCATTGCACAAAATAGTCCTTTTACCATATCAGCTACACATCTTTTGTGTTACAGTGGTACAATTATTAATTAATATTTAGTTATTATTTACTGTGTTTAAAAATTGAAAGAAAGAATGTCGTTGAAAAGAATCGAATCCATACCTCCTATTGCACAAAATGATACATTTACCATATGAGCTACACTTCTGTTATTGACTGCAAGTACAATTATTAATTAATATTTAGTTATTATTTAATGTGTTTAAAAATTAAAAGAGACATTGTTGTTGATGGGAATCGAACCCAAGAATCTCATGGGAAAAGGAGCCTGCTTTGCCAAATGATCTACACATGATTTCAATAGAAGATCTACAATAACATATATATGTATAATTATAGTTTATAAATCTTATTAATTTTTTTCCGGCGGATCCAGGACGGGAGGGCGCCCAGGCTCGCCGAGTGCTGGATCCGCCCTTGCATACAAGTTGTCTATCATTATGAGACTCTTATTAATTTTTTTCCGACGGATCCAGGACGGGAGGCCACCCCGGCTCGCCAGTGCTGGATCTGCCCCTGCATACAGGCTGTCTATCATTACGAGACTCTATACGTTCACATAGACCGTCTACCACTATGAGGTCGTCTATCACTACAAGGCCATCGACCCCCATGAGGCGTCTACCACTATAAGGCCTTCTTCCCCATCAGGTCGTTAACCACTATGAAGTCGTCGACCTCCATGAGGCAGCCTACCACCATGAGGTCGTCTACCACTATGAGGCTGCGATCCGCACGAGGTCGCCTACCACCACGAGGTCGTCTACCACTATGAGGTCGTCGATCCGCATGAGGTCGCATACCACCATGGGTCGTCTACTACTATGAGGCCGTCGACCGTCGACCCCCATGATGTCGTCTACCACCATGAGGTCGTCTACTACTTGAGGCCGTCGACCCCCATGAGGTTGTCTACCATTATGAGGCTGTCAACCCTCATGAGGTTGCCTACCACTATGAGGTGGTCTACACCATGAGGCCGTCTACCACTATTAGTTCGTCGACCCCCATGAGGTCGCCTACGACCATGAGGCCGTCTACCACTATGAGACGTCGACCCCCATGAGGCTGTCTATCACCATGAGGCCCTTACGTTCACATAGGCCGTCTGTCATCGTGAGACCCTCTACGTTCACATAGGCCGTAGATCTCATGAAACCCTTTACGTCTACACATATCGTCTACTATTATGAGGTCAACGCTACACTTAGCCATACAAATGGCAATGAGTTGGATAAGAACTGCTCAATGGCAAACGTGGGTACAACCAACCCCTTGAGGAGTGGGGGAAGTGGGGAGGTTTACGTGGGACACGTGACACCATTAACTGCCTAACGTATGTGTAGTAACATGTGACTATAAATACCTCTAAGGTGAGAAAGGTATGGATTCTTGAAACATGAACTGCTTGGATTCGCATTATACTATCTTCCTGCTCCTCAAATCGATTACTGATTCTCACGCCGAAGGTACAATGGGAGAAAAAGCCCCTACCTCATTTTGCAGGTAGCAACCGCTGACTAAAGTAGCTGGAACACCGCACCCATTAAGGTGAGCACGAAGGACAATCTCGCAACTATTTCATTTTCCATGGAAGATGGAAATTCAAAACAATTTCCACATTTTTGTATGTTTGATTTACTAAATTTTCTATGGAATTGGTTTTTCACATTTTCTTAGTTTTTGAGGAAAATTTTTTCCCATGGATTTGGTGAGAAAAGTTTTTCTCGACAACTTAATTTATTTTTTTTACAATAGAAACAAATTATATCCCAAATTGTAACAAATTATATCCCCTTAATGAACAATTTTCATGAAAAACAAAGTCAAACGAATACCAAAATATTCAAAATTTCAATATTTTTCAGTGAAAGATTATACTAATCAAACATAATTAATTGACAATACCCAGTAAAATAAGTTTTAGGCAATTCAATTATCTGAAATTCATTTTCTTTCCATCCAAATTTCATTCTTGCAATCAAACAGACCCTTACTTTTTAATTTGCCACCTGGAAGTTGGCTTGAAGATCGACGCGTGTGATAAATACCATAGTTTCCATTTCATTTTCACCCTTATTTTAAAAAAATTATTTTTAATTACATGCTTAATGGTATTCATAATTTTTTTTTATCAACTTTGCGTTCACACATTTCATTAATTTTCATCAAAATTTACTAAAAAATCAATTTTTAACTATATCAAACCAGGGCTTAAGTTTGTAAAGACATTGTTTTTGAAGGGTGCCGACCTTGATATTTTGGAAGTCCTGTACCAATTTATATGAACTTTCTATATGTGATTGGAAACCTAATTATTAAAAAAATCATGCGTGGGGCCCTCACTTATGAAGGCTTTTAGACTGTAGTTTATGTAGCTTATAGTCAAGATCAGTAGCAATGAAGTTTAGAGGTTGGTGCAAGGGGCACGACAAGGTAGTGTGGCCATCTTTTTCGTTTTCGCTTTCTTTTCTTCTTCTTCCTTTTATTTATCATTTATTAAAATTGAATATTTATTTATTTTCTCTTAAATAGCAAATGAAAAATGGAACACAACGTCGACACACATCACGGTATGAAATATTATTTAACAAGTTGGACACGAAACGCGATAACAATATTGTAATTTAGGCAACAAGTAGAACGAAGAGCAATTACAAGAACAATATTATATTGTATATTTTGATCAAATTACAAATATTGTGATCAAAACTCTCTATTAAAATTTCAAACTTAGCCCTTGTTTGACAATCATTATTTGAATTTTTTTTTTAAATAATGATTTTTAAAAGAATGCACGGTTAGTATGAAAAAAATTTGAATTTATGTACGTAATATTTTATTGTATAGAAAAAAGTTTGAAAATAACAACTGTCAAATATTGGAATAAGGCATAGAGCCATCCAATTTTCGAGATGTTTGGAATTTCGAGATGTGTCCAAAATCGAAGGGTAACTTTTTAGTTTTAAAATAGGTTGGGATGCTCATTAATAATGATAAAACCACATTAATCGAAAAGTAAAGAGAAAAAAATTCATCAACAAAAAAACAAAAGGCAAATACGATGGTGTTGCTAAGTATGGGAAGGAGCCAAGGAGGCAGAGTTGATTGATATCTCGAGGGTCACTTTTACAATCATCACTTTATCGAGTTGGTCGTTTACCTTTACTAAAAAAATTTATTCCCAACCAACGGGTTGGATAGAAAAAGATAATGGCAATATATCAAGAATTCCAGTAAATCAATTTCTTATTTTCACACCATAATGACTAGGTTTTATTTTTATACGATCTGATTAGAAAATTTTGAATTTTGTGCAGATGAGATCTTGTTTGGTAGTGAATCTGGAAATGGGTTATGAAAAAATGAGGTATGTTTCTTCTTTTGTTGATTTTCAGCTCTTTTTCAGCTTCCATTCACAATATTTGGTACCCTTTTCTGGTTCTGATGTGAATAAGTCATTAAGCACATTTTTCATTGCGATTTTTTGAATTTTAGAATGGGTATATGGATCTGCAATTGCATTTCTTGGATTCTTGACTTATTCTGGCACGTGCTTAATTTTGTTTTTATTTTTGTTGAGGTAATGTTAACAGTTAACTCTGTCTTTTTCTTGTTTTTTCTGGGGTTTCTTGATTGTTGGTGGATTCATTTGGTTTCTTCAATCTAATTAGGAAGAGAAGAATACTTCTGTGATTTTGTCTTAAAGAACCTAGCTTGGATCCTTGTTTCGCCATTTCATCTAAAAGCTGAAGGTTATGGAGAGGACAAATTTAGTATTTCGACACTCTTTCAAGGGCAGGCAAATTTCATTTGAACTCAGGTCTTTTGTGTGCTGTGATCCAATGTTGAGCAACCTCATCTGAAAGGTTAATCTATTAGAGCTCGGATAATCTTTGACAATTATTTTATCCCAAATGTTCAGTCTTAAATTTTCTATTTTATTTTGATTTTCCCATGATAGCCGGGATGTTTCTCAGAGTACACCATCGAATCTCCTATCTATGTCTGTTTGTTTGGTGTGAGTTTGTGTCCTATCTGTTTGTGTATGTTCTGCTACTGGACAGAGTGTGATGTCTGGACCATACACGCTTGCTGATTCAGAAAGCTGTTGGGGATATTACTTGCATGTTTATTACATTTTTGTTAGAACTGTCTCTGTCTTCCTTGCCTTTATGCGATAGGTTGTTTGGGGCTTTAACTTTCATCAATGTGTTCATGTAGGTGAATAAAAGCATGAGATAAGCACTAGCCGAATTGCCAGAAAGTTCATGTTTTTTGAAAAAAAGGATACATGGTGACGTCTCAGAGATTAATAGAAGAACCTATTAGTAGGGGATTTGAGTCTTCAAGCGTGTCAAAACGTCTCGTCAGAAGTTTGAGCCAGAAACTGAAAATAAAGAACCACAGAAATGAAGGCGATGAAATGGATGATACAAGTGGCGTATTGTTGGGATGTCTTACTCTTTATGGAAGAGTCAGAGGTTGCAAAGTAGGTGATGACATAGGTGAAGAGTCTAAAGATTCAAGAAGTAGAAGGCAGTCAAGTGTCAATGAAGAAGGGAAAGGGTACAATATATTAATATGTGGCAACGAGGACGCAACTGTAGATTGCTTTCCCTATTTGATAAAAGAGAGATTCTGGAGGAGGAATAGCAGAAGGCTTTCAGCATATGAAGAAACACAAAAAAAGGCTAATGTGAATACTTTTCTTCCCGATGACATTCTTGAACTGTGCTTGGTGAGGCTCCCAGTGACAAGTCTTATGAGCGCTCGTCTTGTTTGCAAGAAATGGAGAAACTTGACAAAATCACTTCGGTTCATGCAGATGAGACGGGAAGGTTTATTCCAAAGTCCATGGATGTTTCTGTTTGGTGCTGTTAAAGATGGTTATTGTTCTGGGGAAATACATGCATTGGATGTTTCCCTAGATGTGTGGCACAAAATAGATGCTCAAATTCTTAAGGGACGGTTTTTGTTTTCTGTTACAAGCATCGGGGAAGATATTTACATCGTTGGAGGTTGTTCTAGCTTGACCAGCTTTGGAAGGGTGGATAAAAGCTCATTTAAGACGCATAAAGATGTTTTGGTATTTAGCCCATTGACTAAATTGTGGCGTAAAGCTGCACCCATGAAGTACAGTAGATCATCCCCCATTTTAGGAATTTGTCAGATCAGTCCAGATTGTTTGATCACTAGAAATCAGCAAAGTCGAGACCGACGATTTTACAGGTCAAGAGTTGGTGGTATATCAGATGTTTATGAGGATCCTCGCAGACTTTCAGTTAGAAGCCAATTTGGACTCTCCCTTGGTGAAAATAATAATTCGTTCTTTCCCGTTGCAAAACGATACAAATCAATAGGACAAAAACATGAAAATTCGCATACGAAAGATGGTAAAAGTTTTCTGATGATTGCAGTGGGAGGTCTTGGATCCTGGGATGAACCACTGGATTCTGCGGAAATTTATGATTCAATATCCAACAAATGGATGGAGATCCAGAGACTACCTCTGGATTTTGGGGTGGCTTGTTCTGGTGTTGTATGTAATGCGATTTTCTATGTTTACTCAGAAAGCGATAACCTTGTTGGTTATGATATAGAAAGAGGATACTGGGTTACATTTCAAACGACTTCATGCCCACCTCGTGTGCACGAGTACTATCCAAAATTTATATCATGTAACAGTCGGCTATTCATGCTTTCTGTATCGTGGTGTGAGGGAGACGGTCAAATAGGCAGAAGAAACAAAGCAGTTCGGAAGCTCTGGGAACTTGAACTCGTGCATCTTACTTGGACAGAAGTGTCAATGCACCCTGATGCCCCAATGGACTGGAATGCTGCTTTTGTCACTGATGGAAATAGTATATTTGGGATTGAAATGTTCAAGATATTCGGACAGGTGTTGGACTTCGTGACAATGTTCGATGTATCTGACAACGGAATGAAGTGGAGTCATGTTTCGAAAAATCACGTGGCACACGATCTAGATGCTTCTTCATGCTTGACAAAGACGATGACAGTGCTGCTTTTATAACTAGTATAATAATTTGTCTTGATTCATTATGTCGTCTCTTACTCGAGAGTCAAGTTCTCATCAGGTTGTACATGCTATTATCTTCAGTTATTTTTCTGAATGTTTGTCTGGTACTAGTGTAATTCGTTCACAAGTGTAGAATTAGCTTGTGCACTTGTTTCCCTCACATATTCTTTATATCAATGTTGACTGAACATAGGGACAACCAGTTTATGCATGCTTTTTGTAAAGGGTTTTAGCCATTTGACAACATATACTTTGCATTAGGGAACTCCGGATTTTTTGGAATTCAACATCAGGAAATGGTTTTGCGCTATTGAGGGACGTCAACTCATCTCAATCTTTAAGGAAGAGATCGAGGACCCTAACTTCTTTTAGCAGGTGGGAAGGGTCATTGCTCTCTCCTGCCTCAATTAAAATGAGGATGGAACAGATACAATAATGAGCATTTCCCCGTGTTTGTGCAAGTTGTAACAGCCGATGATTTCTTAAAATTCTGGGAAAAATTGATGTCCAGTCTCACATTCAACTTCAAAAGCCAGTGCAGTATGGAATTCATGAAAAAGAAGCCCAAAAAAAAAAAAAGAACACCCGCTACACTCCATAATTCTTGCCAAACTGCTATACTTTCTGATGCATCAGTAACCTCAGAAACAAAGGTGAAGATAATAATGATAATAACAACAAATACACGGCCTATCAATCTAATAAATCATTTCAAAACGATTATCCCATGTTCGGAAAGATGCCAGAGAAGTTGGGAATTTTATCAACGTGCTTCAAGGCATGCTCAGCAATCTGTCTTGTTCGATAATCGCCATGTTGAAAAGCATCTACGAGGGCTAAGCCTACATTTGGATCTCCTGAAACTTCGTAGGCTATATCCTCTGTTCTCAATAGTCTCTCGACTGCCCAAACAGCCCTCCTTTTTAGACTCTCGGTCCGTTTCTCAAGTAACACATCGAATACAGGCTTGATTCCTTCTGCATCCATTAACACCTGAACTCCTTGCTCGATATCAACCCCATCTTCCAAAAGAGTCGACAGGGCTGCAAGCGATGCTTCAATGACCTGGTCATTGTTGTGGTCGAGAAGTTCGACCAACTTCTCAACAGCATGTCCTTCTAAAATACAAAAGGTTTCTTTCATCGAACACATCCCACGATGAACCCTACACAATCCAGTTATGACGGGTGGCTTGCTTAAACAAGGGAAGATAGAGGCACAAAATCCCGGAGTTGGAAGCTCAGGCAATTTGGTCAAGTTTCTTGATTCTTGGGATAGGTTCTCTAAAGCCATGGCTGATACCATTTGTACCTTATCAAGCCCATTAGCTTGTAGAAGGTCAATAAAGAGCGACACTACATTGTGTTCACGACAAAGTGCACGGGCAGAACCTGACTCTTCAGACAAGGCAAATGTAATTCTTGCAAGAACCTTAACAAGCCCTTCCAAATATGGTGTCATGAACCGGCTGCCTCTCGTCTCCCCTTGTCTGATCCTAATTACACGAGAAATGAACAGCTCAAACGCACCTTCATTTAGGATCTGTCTCGTCAGGCCGACGTCTCTTTCTGGAAGATCAGCCAAAAGCCCAACGGCTGCTGCCTGCTCCTCAGTTATCGCTATGTTTTCCAATATTACCCTTATCAGACTACCAAGTTGACCAGATGTGCCACGTAGGCAACCTGTTAGTTCATGGCCCATGTATGGGGAGAGATTCTGAAGAAGTTTTATCGAAGCCAACCTCAGATCCCTCTGCGGAGCCTCAATAAACTGAACCAAACTAATAGTAGCCCCCGAACTCTTAATAGCAGAAACAACACTGGAAACAGTTGTCTGAGAACTCGTAAGCCCAACAAGAACCTGGAAAAGCCTGCATTCTATTGCAGGCCCCGTGTTGCTGATAAGATGTAGAAGATTATGAATTATTTCCTCGGAAACCAGAGTTTGGTTATCAGGTCCAACTGGAATGGAATCAAAATCATATCCCGAGCTCACAACATTTGCAAGAATTGTTGCTGAAACTTCTTTTAGTCGCATGGGCAGCTGGTTCGAGCCAACGGTAAAGAGATCCTTGACAAGAGGCGGAAGTACACCTGCCTCTATCAAGACCTTGGCACTTGATTCATCTGAAGAAATTTGATTTAAAGCTTTAAGAGCAGCCTCTCTCGACTCCATGTTAGTACTTTTCATGAGATTAATCAGGGACGAACCAGCTGTCCTAGCCACATAGACTTTCACGTCATTGTTTAAAACCAGCTCACCCAGGAATGCAGCCATCGACAATTTAGTTTCTGGAGTGCCTGCATCGATTCAATAGAACTCTTAACGCCATTTTCGACAAGATAGATTCAGAACTACGAGGCAGTATCAACGAAGAAAAAGAAGTTAAAATTTTGTTCATTGCATTGTTATCCTGTACAGACAGTTTGCCATACACGCCCTTCGATTTTTATGGTGAAATTAACTGCACTGGACAACAGCTAGAAAAAGAAGTTGAAATAACTCTCTAGTCCTTTCTAGTAATTGCTCTAGCTCTCTTTGTGTTTACCCAAATGAGACTAGGGCCCAGGTCAACAAGTACTAAACATGCTTTTACTGGTTTCCATCCTCATTTTTCTTAATTCTTCCAATTTATGTCATGGTACAGTAAATAACACCACAAACATCATATCGTGCTCAGCACATAAACTTCAACCTGTATGTAAACAAAACAAGCAGGCTAATGAAATCTAATCACATGCAACCGTCTCTTCATCAGCACCTGTAATATTCCTAAAGAAAAATGCAAAATAATATAGACACACACACACAATGAGTTCTACACAAGCAAAGAGTACAGAGGTTGGTTACAACACCTTCAAGTAGTAGAGTTAGAAGAGGATGCAATCTTCCATTTTCGGCCATTTGTCTTACATTGTTCTCACATTCTGCCAGATTCTCCAGGGTTTTATCAGCACTTTCAACAGTCAGAAGATTTTCCGAGTTGCTGCTTGCCATTCCTACTAACATAAGAATTGCTCCATTAACTGAACCAATCTTTTCACACAATAATTCAGATTTCGAGAGCTCATGCAGCAAAGAAACAGCTTCTTCTCTCTCTTTGGATTGCTCGTGTGATAAGAATTTGACTATCGTGCGCACAGTGTGCCCTTCAGCAATTATTTCCTGAAAAACTAGAAAACTGTTAAAGAAGAATAAATAACAACTGAACTTACATATGCAAAACATACAATGAAACGTCAATCAATTACAACCTTATTATCTGGGTCATCCTCCACTACAATACGAAGCGTTTCTAGAGCCTTAGACCGAACCAGACGACTACTGCTTTTCAGCATATCGGCTATCGATGGTATCAGCTCCGCATTACGGATTACGTGCTTATTTGACGGATTGTTTAGGCACAGTTGCTGGACAAACTTCAGAGCCTGTAAAATATCATTTTCTGGGCTGCCTGCCGATAATGATTTACGAGCCATGTCAAGCTGAGCAGCTTCATTCCTGGCCTTCCATTCTTCAATTGTGTTCCGTAAAGCAATACTCGGATTTAATTCAGTGCTTCTTAGCTCTCTCAGAGTCAATGGGCAAACAAGCCGTCTTCGACTCTCCCTACACTCCCTGAACCATTTCTCAATTGCGTCTCTCTCAAAAGTTTGCCCATTTTCCAGCGTCACAGGATCTCGCATTACTTGTTTAGTCAAAGGGCAGATAAATGCATCATAAATAGGTTCAATATGTAGTCTATCGAAATGGAGGCTGTCATCGGATTGACTACCCGGGTCGTAATTTCCATCCCAGCTTCCAGCCATTAGATTCAAAGTACCTGCCAGAGAAAGCAACATTACTTCTTAACATGTAAAATAAAGATTAATGTAACAAGATATCAAGACACGATTCGATCTGTTCCCACTTGATAACAAGCAGTTATTTCCATGCACTTGGACTTCTTTAGCTATTCAAAGAAACTTAGTCTACAAAGATAGGGGAAAATAGAATTGGAGATCTCAATCTTTACATACACGAAGGCTTGGATTCACAACCAAATTTACTTGGCATCAGAGTCCCCAACCTTTAAGTTTTGTAGCCCTTGGGTCCCACAAGAGATTTCGTCCAAAAAAAAAGAAGAAAATCGTTAAAAAGTCTTGTGTTTTGCACATTATGTACAGATTTTAGTCAAAAAGACAAGTATACCCTTTCTTTAATTCAAAAGCATAAAAGAAAACAAGAAAGCATTCTTATGCCCCTCCCACCCCGTTGCCTCCTCCCCCTACTCATTTTGTGTGTATTTCAAATGAGGTTGCATGCAGCTTCATTTAAAAGACTTCCAACAAAATAGCATCAATGGATTTTGTTGTGCCTCGTCGTCGAAGCTCCAATTGAAGACCCCGTCACAGTCCACGTTGAGATGTAAGTCAACTCTGACTAAGTCAACAAAGACCCAATTGGTCAAAATAAAGAAGTCGAAGAAGAAGCTAATGCCCTTTGTTCAGAAGCTCGTTTTAGCCAAAGCCATCGCTCCATTCGAAGCCCTCTTTGGCCGAAGCACCCACCCCCATCCGAAACTCCTTTTAGGCTAAAGCACTTGTTGTCTTTTAAAGGATCTGCAGACAATCTCTAGGAATGATTGATATAACATTTACAATAATGAATGTCAGGATTGTCAGCCTAGGGAATATAAGGTGACTAACATGATGTCAATGTATTAAATGTATAGCAGACTAAGTGATGTGAGGCTTTGGCTTGAAAGATGAGGCCACGTAGTTCTTATCCAATAGCTACTACGTCAATCAGAACTCTATAAATAAGCAACTCTTGTAGCATTTGAATCTAATGCAATTCTACACACTAAAAAATACATTCGGTTTCCTCTAGTTCTCATTCTATATTATTTGCTTGACTTTACTTTGTTCTTGTTTATAATTGTTTATTTGTATACGGTCATTTTCGATTATTTCGCCAGTGCTCGAATATTTTTGTCCCGCGTTGTAGAGAATCTCCCACATCCATAAGCGTCATCCATTCCCGTCCAACTCTCCGCTCGAAACATGTTGAAATTTGCTTGCGCGGATGAGAATGGGTCTGGCATATGTTGTCCAAGTAACCATTACGAAAAACAGGTCAACAGATTCTTTTTTTTTTTTCTGTTTAAGGTAAAGGCCTATTTATTTTATTTCCAAGGCTCCTACTGTTTCTCTTCTAGAATAATAAACAGTCATTAATTTAGGCTACACAAACCAAAAAATAAAAAGGAATTGTAATCTATAATCAAAATAATTTGGTAAATGTTCTTTTAATCAAACCAAAATAACAGAGTGAACCATCTCGCGTGTTGTATTTAGGAAGTCATAATACTATCTTACCCTTGTAACAGTGTGTCATGTGACAATCACTTGATATGTTATAAAGGTTTAAATCAACAAGATCCCTCAGCGAGAACTGAGCGCTACAAAAATTGAAGTGGGGAACATGGAAAAATTGGTTGAAGACCCCAAGCATTCATTCATGTAAAGGTTACGGGACTTTAGGTTCTATTTTCCCCAAAAGAAATGATAACATCAAAATGATATAAAACAACCTCAATACTTCGAAAATACTTGGGTAGAGACAAGATATCTCTTTTCATTTATTTCTCTTCACATTTAAAAGCAAGCACAAGGGGCACACTTCGAAAATGAAGCTAATGTGCAACTTATAGTGAAAAGAAAACATTGGAAATGCGTAAAACGATCACTATCAACTATTTAAGCCAAACGTCTCTCTTTTCACCTGTATTTATGAATTGAAACTAAGAGCATGCTTGGCTTATCGTAAAGAGTTCACTTACAAGTTTACTTGTAAGTAAATAAGTAGGCATTTTAAAATAATAATATGTTGTCACTTAAAGTTGTAAATAAGTTACAACTGAGAAAAAGGTAACACATCGGATTCAGGAGCAGGAACAGGCACACTGGAGCTTGGAATCTTGTCGAAGTGAGCTCTTTAGAATAGAATGTATTTTGTGTTGGTAAACGAGAATCCAAACAAGTTAGAAAACAAAAACTTACGAACTTGTACTTTTTTCTTTTACCTAAACCAAACACGCACTTAGTTAAGCCAATTTTCTCTCGCTTCCCCATTCACATGGTTGATCATCTAGCATTATATATAAATAAACTCTTTTTTTTCATTTGTCTCATTTAAATGCTTTCTATTGGATTCGGAATGCAAACTACACCTTTGCACTTCACTTTCTGACTTCAAATCCAACGTCAATCTCTCTCTCTCTCTCTCTCTCTCATATTTTACTTGACACTTGTAAGGATAAACCTAAAGCAACAACAAAGTAGAAATCTCCAATTCCATTTGTGTTTCAAGATTATTTGGGAAGCATTTCTAATGCTAGTTTAAAGGATAAATAATTTTTTTTGTAAGCACAAGTAAACAGATTCTTGTAGAACTGGCTCTGATCTAAACTTAATTATTTTCAAAATGCAAAATAAACAATTTCACAAGCTATCTAAGGACAAAGATCATCAAATCCCCACTACGATTTCAACTAACTACGATTAAATGAAAACAAACCTCCAAGAGTCTAACTCAGTCCACTAATTAATATACAAAATTCAACACATATGGTAAATACCAGAGTTAAGCCCAATCATAAGCAGAATTTTTAACTTACACAAAACATTGGACATATAATTCATCGAAAAGAGAAACTTAGAATCGTTACCTTGTTGAAATCTTTCCAATTTTAACCTTGCATCCAAAATATATTTTCAAGAAATCCCACAAAAATTAAAACCCAAAATTCAATAATTCTGATACTTCCATGAATCTTGAATTATGGATTCTTCAGCTTCTGATCCATCGAGGTGGGGAAGAGAGAAAAGGGGGCAAAAATAGGGAAGAAAAAGGGGTGAGGAGAAGCGGTGACAACAATTGAATGAAAAAAGGATAAGTGAAAAACAACAAAAAATAATTTTATTTAAATAATTATACATAGAAAATGATAAAAGAGGAGAGTTGACTGACAGCCAATAGTCATCGTTTGTGCACTGTGAAAGAACTACGATATGTAGAAACGTAAAGTAGTGACGAAGTTCCCATATGCCTATCCTATGGCTGGCTGTAGAATATTGTATTTAATATTATACATGTATTCTTATTTACAATAGTAGAATCAAGAAAAGAAACTAGGATGTTATCACAAAATTTACAGATGTTCCGTGTCAGTGACGAACCCAGCACAAATGTTCAGTTCGAACGGACGTTGATCATTGATCGTTGATAATTAACGATCGTAAGAATGAAATCGTTTATTAATATTTAATTAAATAATATTAAAAATTATTCAATATATGGCTGTGTTTGACACCTATTTTTGAGGGAGAATAAATTCTGAAATAGTGATTGATGGAAGAATGTGTGGCTAAAAAGTAAGAAATTTTTTTTGGTTTATGTGTAATATTATTTTATTGAGTGAATGTTTGGTTGAAATGAAGAAAGAGAAAAAAAATGAAAAAAGAGAATGGAAAGAAAATTGGTGTCAAATAGGGGCTATAGTAAACACACTAAAACGTAAAAATTATATATATAAAAACATAATTCAATACAACCCAAAATATTTAAAAAAAATTGCGATACAACCTACCGGTCCTACCATGTATATGTGATATTAGACAATTGCATTCTTTGTGTTATTTAACAATTCACGTGCTAGATTAGAAGCGGTGTCGGGACTGGATGCACAGCTAGAAGTACAAGAACTAGGTATGAACTTTCGTTTCGATTGAAAAAATCGTTCCATAACCTGCAAAAATCGTTTCAATTAAAACGGTATCAATTTAATAAGTAATAAGTAGTTAAAACTTAAAATCAATCTAACAATCCAACACCGTTAGTCGTTAATATCTAATGTGGTCTTTAGGTAGATGACGGCCTTCCCCATACCTCGTCCGCCAAGGATTTTCGAAGGTAGATGATGCGAAGCAAGGCAAGGATAGGATTAAAATATCTTCCTTAATTATTTAATTTTTAAATAACTTTTATATTTAAAATAAAAATAAAATTCATGACAAGTTCAGAACAAGAACCATGTTCGTATAGTCTGAATAGAAATTTATAATAGATCATGTATTTTGGTGCTTCAATTTTTTTTCTTTTCCCAGTCTAACCATGGTGCAGCATTTTAACGTACCCACCAAAAAATAGAAACAAAAGTAGATGCAAATGCCAACTAAAATTTAAGATTAAACAGTAAATGCATACACTCAAATATCCTCTGCGAAATTAGTAGTTTGCACAATAAAAATGTCAAGAACCAGCAAAGCAATCAGAGAACTTTGAAGACATATGCATTTCCACATCACATACTTGAATCACTCTATCTTTGTCCAAGCCAGCAACATACTTGAATCACTCTATCTAAAAAGGACCAAACTTGACTTGTCTTTCACCTTTGAGAACCAATTGACCGATCAATGAACACGCCAATATTGGGATCTAGTGAGACGGTTTTAATTTCTCAATTTTTCTTCAATTAGAAAGAGCTCTCACAAATTCTTTTGATTTTACTCTTACCTTTATATTTTTGGAAACAATTCACAAATACACAAAAAAGTTCACTAATTTCTAATATATGTTTACACATTTTTTTTATTCTCAATATACTTTTTTATTATTTTTTTATTTAATTTGTTTTACATAGAGCTTGTAACCCAAAGTGTTACATTTGTTACGCACACATGTTTTCTCTACTATCGCCACCGCCACCGCCACCAATAATTATAATAAATTATGTTACATTTGCAACACTCTATCTTCCTATTGGCAATGTTGCCATCACCATCTGTAATATACCGTGTTACACTATCCTGCTACCATCACCACTACAATCACTTCACAGACCTTGTTATTTTGTCACAACCACCATCACCATAACAATTACGTGTAATACTGTATGCTTTGTTATATTGTCATCATCGCTACCATAATCATTTATAACATTCATTATTACAAGTTACAACTACTAAGATCACATCCACCACCAATCTTCATTGTCCATATCCCATCAACATTGGCGAAAGCTCCTCTGCATGTGCCATCATAACATTAAGAAATAAATTTGGATGGTGCGTTCGTATGAGTAGAAAAAATGTTGGTAGTTGGAGAAATTAAAAACAGAAGAAGAAGAAAAGGGTGGTGGAAGTAGAATAGAAATTTCAAAAGAAAATGGGATGGTAATTTCCACAAAAAATAAAAAAATAAAAGTGGGGCCTTAATTTTTTGGGGCCCTCGTACATTTGGGCCACTTGGCAGCCATCTATGCCCTGGCCGTCATCGTGTTTCGTAAAACTTTTTTAATGATCAAAAGCTGTACTTTGAGAAGAAAATAGTTTTTTCTTAAGAACACGATACAGCCTTTCAATCTAAGTATATCTCTACATTCCTCTAAAAGAAAGGATCCAGCCGATTACTGTTCATTCTTGGCTCCCCGTGTTCACATTTAACTGGCTTGGAGTTTGCTTTTTAGGGGAACTTAACTGATTTGGAGTTTGCTTCTATTATCTTGTCCAGTTGTGGTGGGTCTGCATTCACCTCCAATGTCGGTAAGTAAGCAAATTATTTGTTTCAATTTGACTTCTATGGCATAATGCAGGTAAATATTTTGAATTCCCATTTTATCCTTAATGCCAATATTGATAGAAAATAATGTGGAGTTATTTAGTCAAGTGTATTTTTGATAAAGTAATTATTAAAGTAAGGGTGTAATCGTCTTTTCAATTTTCATATCCTATAATAAATGTAGTAAGTCATCATTTGATAAATGTACTCTGACCATATTTTTTGACTGCCAATTTTGATTTATCTGCTTTCTCTAAATAGTATTTTCTCACAAAAATTGTCTTCTTCAGCTGTATGTTCCTTTCACATTCTTTACCTTTGCCGTTGCTTCTTATTCGCAAAACGAGAAAACACCTCTGATGTAGTATAGAAATTGGACACCGGTAATATTTCATATTTGCTTTCATGTAGGGTAATCTTGTTTTATAAAGGAATTTTAATATTTGTAGATTTTGGACGATTTTAGCTCCGCGCAGTACGATAACTCAGAACGTCAAAAAATAGAGGTAATTTTTTTACTCTCAATCGTGTACACACACACGTATACAGTAATATTATAATTATAGTGTTTTTGTGTAGAAAATAAGGTGAATAAGTTTGGGTTCGGTTCGGTTCGGTGCGGTGCAATATTAGTTTTACATTGTTTGAGAAAGTTGGAGTTCGATTGCAGAGTTAATTTCAGCTGTATTTAGTTGGCTCTAACTATACTAGACAAGGTTCTGTGGTGTGAGTAATTATGTTTTGCATTTTTTTTTATATTTTATCTTACTCAATTATTTGTGCAATAAAGTCGTAATTATTTGTTTAGAAAGAAAGTTAAATGCATACTCTTGAAAAGTTGAAATTATTTGATTTTCATGTTGAAGAACATTTAACAGTTTTCATTTTACGTTTAATCATTTTACAATTACTAAAACATGCTCGATCAATTTATTTATTTATTTTTATTTTTATTTTTTTATTTTTTTTGCTGCTTAGGTGTAAAGGTTCGATTATATTATTTAGCTTGTGGAATTGAAGATTGTAGTAGTGACATCTGTTTCTTTTACATTTTGACAACATTTATACGACATTCAAAATTCTCTGTTAATGATGTTTCCCTTTTTTCCTTCTCTTGCTTTAGTTTCAAGTTAATGTAACTACTGCATTGATTTCTTAGTTTTAACCTTTGTACTTGTCCAATTAAATTATTCGTTTTTTTTAACTATCTTTCTTTTACTCTACTTTTCGTTGGTTAAAGGGTGAGATTCTTTTCAGATAATTGTGGTTTTGATGAAACTTTTTTCAAACAATTTGTTTTTGGTAGAGTTCTCATGTACGTGGGTTGTATATTTTTAGAAGATGCACTTTATGTTTTGTTAGTTATAACATTGTTTACATATTGTGGAGATTTGAACATATCTTTCACTATTTTGTATATTAATTGTTCAATTGTAAAGTTTGTATTTGATGTGTGTATGACCAAGCATCTGTGCTAATGGTTCTCTTAAATTCTTTTGTAGTTATTGCTTACTTTGAGCTTCAAGTATTCGATAGGTCATCTTAAATTTCTGATGGATATCTTAGAAACACGTGCTCATGAAAATCCGCATTTGTTTAACACTGTAAATATCTCTGAAAGTACAATTGAGGCACAAAATGCATTATTTCGCCAGCAACAAAATCAAATACAAAGAGATCGGCGAAATCAAGCTCGAATTGGGTCCATTGATCATCGCAAAAGGATAACTGAGTCATCTAAAAATAATAATTTCCATTTTGCTCATATGGATGAATCTACAACACATTATGTTTCTGAGGCTTCTAGTTCGAACAACGAAACGCCTAATATTTCTAATCTTGAATTACATGGAACTTTTACCCTATTGAATGTACCAAGTGTTGCATATGTATTACCAACATGCATTTATTGTAAACATTATGATGCACAAAAATTTTATAGAGAAAGTAAAGGTTTTTGTTGCTCTGATGGAAATGTTAAACTATTCATGTCTGATTTACTAACTGAACTATATAACTTGTTTACTTCTAAAAAACCTACATGTTTGGAATTCAAAAAAATTTCAAAGGGATATAATAACCATTTAGCATTCACTTCATTTGGTGTAAAATACGATAAAGAATTGTTTAAATCATACAGAGATATTTACACATTTAGGGTTTAGGGTCAAGTATATCATTATGTAAATCAACTTATGCCAGAGAATAGTACATCTTTTTATATGCAATTGTATTTTTACGATACAGATGATGAATTTGAAAATCGTATGAAAATTTCAGAGAACTTTGATGAATCTACTTTGATTAGTGTAATTGAAATCCTGAAAGTAAATCCATACAATAGATTCTTTAGGTATTTAAGTCACATGACTAATTTGTACGACCATCGAATATAGATTAGATGTGACCCGTGACTTGATTAAAGAGTTTTCAATACTCCTACGGCATCTCAAGTAGCTGCTGTATGGGTTGAAGATGATGAAAATACAAATGTTCGTGCTCGTGATATTACTATCTACGGCCATTCTAGTGATTCACACAAGGTTCATTACTACTACGATTGTTATGATCTTTTACAATATATATTGTTTTTCCCATATGGGGAATCTGGTTGGCATGAAGACATTGAGTGATGCAGAAGCAAATACTTTCAGCCTCAGCATTTGTCTGATTTAGGCGTTTTTCCTAGCACAATTACTTCTGCAACTAAATTATTGAAAAAGAAAATCAAGGTTTGTCGATATATTTTCTTTAAAATTTTTACCTTTTGCAATTTAAAGGTAGTAAATAAATATACATTTTTTTGTCCTTTTTCATGATGTAGTGCTTAATGGAATGAAGAAACGTTCTTAGGTTTCTTGTCGAGAATACTATTCATACAAATTCCAAATTAGGACTTCTGGTAATTCTTTATTGCTTCACACTGGTAAACTGTTTCAACAATTTGTTGTAGATATATATGTTAAGATTGAAACAGCCAGGTTAGACTATTTTCGTAACAATAAAAAATAAATTCGTGTTGAACTTTATCAAGGTATTGTGGGTAGTGTTGAAAATAGGGAAACAAGAGGGTACAAAATTGGAAGAAAAATTATTTTACCACAATCATTTACATGTGGGCCTAGAGATATGCTAAGGAGATATATGGATGCAATGTCTATTGTGCAGCGTTTTGGAAAATTAGATTTTTTTTTTTACTATGACATGTAATCCTAACTGGCTAGAGATGAAGCAGGAACTAAAGCACAATGATAAAGTTCAAAATCGACCAAATCTAGTTGTACGTGTGTTTCGAGCAAAATTAAAAGAGTTAAAAAAAATGATTTATACAAGAAAATATCTTAGGCCCCGTTGTTGCGTGCACGCACGCGTGCACACACACACACACATATATGATTGAGTTTCAAAAAAGAGGACTTCCTCATGTGCATCTATTGCTGATTTTCAAATTTGGGCAAAAAAATTGTTGTGCTGAGTAGGTTGATATGATAGTGTGCTACGAAATTCTTGACAAAAACAAATATCCTCATCTTCATTCTATTATTGTCAAACACAATATGCATGGTCCTTGTGAAAACCTTAATCCAAAAAATGTATGTATGGAAACAAATAGAGGTTGTAAAAATAAATATCCTAGGGATTACTGTAACACTACTATATTTGGTGTTAACTCATACTCGTTTTATAAGCGTAGTAATAATGGAATCTCTGTTAAAGTTAGAGGCCAAATGTTGGACAATCAATGTGTTGTACCATACAATCCTCATTTAAGTGCAAAATTTGATTGTCATATTAATGTTGAAATATGTTCTTCTATCAAAACTGTAAAATATTTGTACAAATATGTGTACAAAGGACATGATTGTATTAATTTCTCAATTCGAACAACAATACAGAGAAAGAAATTGACAAAATATCTGCTTTTCAATCTGCTAGATGGATATCTCCACCTAAAGCTATGTGGAGAATTTTTTTCTTTCAATTCGTCAGAAATGTATCCTACTGTTTATTCTCTACAACTTCATATTCAAAATCATCAACAAGTAACATACGATGATCAAGAAGATTTATCTACTGTTATTGACAATTAAAATATGAGGAGAACAATGCTGACATATTTTTTTCAAATGAATGAAGCAAATGAGTTTGTTCGAACATTGTTATATCGAGATTTTTCTACACATTTTGTTTGGAATACAAATAAAAAGATTTGGACTCGGAGAAAGAAACAAATTGTTATATGACAAATTGTCACAGCCAATCCTTTTGAAAGAGAACGATATTTCCTCCGCATTCTTCTTAATCACATTCGAGGGCTAATATCATTTAAGGATTTAAGAACTTCGAATGGGATAACTATTGCAACATATCGAGAAGCTGCACTTCTACGTGGTCTATTAAGCGGAGACAACCACTGTGAAAAATGTGTTAGCCCAAGAATAACTAATCAAGAGGGGGTGAATTGGTTTCTAAAACTTTT